ATAAAATCTTAATGGATTTACAAAACCTCCAGTCCAACCATCCTTTTATCTTTACCAGGGTTGCACGGGGGCTGGGGCCTATCCCAGATGTGATAGCAGTAGTGCTAACCACCACGCCACCAAGCTGTCAATCCACTTACTTAACAAAAGTAGGACAGCTATGATTACACAGCTTGACGCTGAATTTTCTTTACATTTTGTCCTCGACAGGTTAAACCGCAATAAACAGCAACAGCACACGTGTGGTGTGTGTCTCTTATAACTCCAGTGATTTTTCTGCAGTTTCAAATCTCGTGTGAATTTGAGAATTTCCTGAGCCCAGACACCTAACCACTCTTACTAGATTGTATCATGTCATCTCAACAAGAACAAATTAAGTTGTTGAATTGCTTCATACAGATCCTACATGATTTAAATATGTTCACCATAGAAACATGAAACTATTTTGTTAAAATTACAATTTTTTTTTAGACTTTTGTAAATGTAACATCCACCCATTCCTTTTTTGAGTGGAGATGCTAAAAGGTTTTAAGATGCCTGGTCCTGAGCAGGTAGATGCTACTGAAACAGTCACATTTGGGGCTGAAACAAGCTGCAGCTCAAGGCAAAATATACATTTTTCTTCAAAAAGATCAAAGTGCTAAAAAGCTGAAACGGAAACAATTGCAGCAAGTGACTCCAGCTTCGGTTGTCAATTTAGGCTTTTCTAGGTGTTGTGGGTATAATGATGGGACAAACTTTCTTTAAAAAACTTCCTGCTGCTGACTTCAAAGTGATGGTTTCTTTATTCCCTGTGTCTGACTCCACAAAGCATAGCCATAATGGATTGTGTATGCCGGTAAACATTTATAACGAGTTTCCATTTGTGGGCTGCTGAGTCCAGCTACTCCAACTTATTCACCATGAAGGCTTGCTCTGTGTTAACAGCAGCCGACTGCTGAGAGAAGCATGTGATTTGTCTGTGAGCCTGAGGCGGCATCGGTTGCCGGTCCTCCCCTCGCCTCATCCATCGATCCAGCGTGACTCTGCAGGAGTGAGATGAAAACCTCTCGCTATGATTTATGGGATATCATCTGCAGGAGTACCAGTGGAGCTCCTGCCTCCCAGCATTTGATGAGGAAACTACCTGCCAGATGCAAAAACCAAGACTAAGTCCATAAAGCCTCACTGGACTACTTCTGCACTGCAAAGCCTTTATTATAACCTAGTGGTCATTTTATTCCTTCAGAGGTACTAATAAATGGAAACCACAGCAGATCTTAATTCTTATGAATGTTGGACGGCTCTTTGTTTAAAAACCACTTAAAGCAGTTGAGAATGTTTCGAATTCTTCTTTAAAGGTACTTTGCAGGTAGCTTGTTCCAAACAACTTGGAAAACTCATCCCGTTTGTAAGGATTCGGCTCTATTCTGGTTCTTCATTTAATTTCTCTAACTGACTCCATGATGGTTTGATGGACTCGGTGCATTTTTGTTTGTCTTGTTGCTAAAAATAATTACTTCCACTAAGGAGGTTATTATTTTGTAGTATCTGCATGCATGTCCTCATTCTGCCTGTAAACATGATAACTTGAAGGAATTCTGAGAAAACTTGGCAGGGGTGCAGAGTGCGGTCATGTTAATCATCCATCAAAATCTGGCTTCCAGTTCAAGGTCTTCAAGGTCAACTTTATGATTTATTGGACAAAAATTGACAGAAAGCCATATAACTTTGAAACTAGGTCTATTACAAGTGCGGTTTAAGATTTAAGATATCATGTCACATTTGACCTCTGACCTCTCCTTCAAGGTCAACAGGTTAGCCTAAAAGGTCAAGATGATAATAATGCTATATAGAGCTGTTTGAAATGAAGATTCTTACTGCCATTGTTTGTACTTTCAACATACAGGTATACAGGAAGTGACATATAGGCATTCTAAACACATCTGACCTTTGACCTCATCTTTAAATGCAAATAAACTCATAAATTGTTAACTTTGCTTCAAATTATACTTTCTTTGATACAGGTCTATCAGGATCAGGAAATCTTTTATTATAGTCTGCGTCCAATGGCATGTTACATTTGACCTCTGACCTCAATTTTACATTTTACATCTGCCTTTCTTTTAAGCTGAACCCAAAATGTGTCACATCTTTAAATAAAGTATGAGAACGAATGGCCTACTTGGAAATATACTGTAGTGCAGTGTTCTATAATAAGCTCAAGCTATTTACACATCAATACCTATCACCCATTAACCCACTCCTACATATGTCTGTGTAATCAAAGCAAACATCCGTCATGCTTCCCTTATCTGACTGACTTTACTGCACCACCAACTTCATGTTCTTTTAAAAGAACAAATGAACCAAACAAATATATACAAACTATAATAATACAATATTTCCTTAACAGTAAATACCTCCAGAGAGTGGCTCGCCTTGCCTTCTTGTTCTTTATGGTTCTGGCTGTATGTTTTGGGTCGTTGCCGTGCCTCCCAGAGGCCACCATGTGTTGGATAGAAATGTAGTCTCTAATTGAAATCCAAAAGGTGCTGCAATGTGTCTTTTCTGTAGCAATATATACACAATAAGTTATTTAATGTGTTTAGAAAACATGAAAACCCATTCAGTGATTAGCATTTTCTGCTCAAAACTATTCATATAGTCAAAGAATGTGATATGAAATTACTAAATTAGATGAAGCTGTCTTTAATCAAATATTAAAAAGTGTCATTTTTCATTCTTTCTTTCAATTTGTTTCATTTCTTGATTTAGTTTTTTTCTAAAAGACTGACACATTCAGCAGCATGTTTATTCAGGAGCGCCATGGGATGAATGAAAGAAATGGCAACACATGGCTAGCTTTGCAACTTACTAAGCACTTAAATATTAATTAAAGAGCCATGAGTACGCGCCAAATGTTAGCATATTTGTTTATCTATGAACAAACACACATTCATGTCAGTGTCCCACTTTCTCCTATTTGCACCGACGGCAGCATTAAGACGTAATTCTGCCAACTTAATCCACTTAAAACCAGAGTTTTTTTAAGGATTCTGTCTTAAGGGTGCCCTGCGAAAGGATACAAGTACAAAACTCTCAGGAGACGGAGAATTCATGTTTTAAAAGTAAGAAGAAAGACAGTGACAGACGTGGTGTGGCAAGAGAAAATGCATATACCCTTAGTCTCCTCTCCTTGTTTTTTTATCCTCCTTTCCTCGTTTCCTTCCATCTCCTCCATTGCATGTGTAACAAATGATTTGGAAACCAAAGCGGGAGAAAAGGCAGAGGAGCAAAGACAGCGGCAACCCCGGGGCTGCTAGAGATTGCTGAGGCTAGCAATGTCATGCCTGACTCGACCACAGTAAATATAACAGCAGTGATGATGGAGGACGGGCGGGGGAGGGGGTGAAGCGAGCTCATATGGATCTGCAGTTCTTTTTTTCCACACGTGGGATAAATTATGGCACGTGCACCGGGTGGGTATTTGCTGGGATAATGTCTTTCTAACCTGGACGCACCTTACAAACAGTGACCATGTGGTACACCGCCGCCGCCGGGCGCTCTGCTGATTTTTCACATTGATGAATGAAGGTCACTGTGGGGAGATGTTCAGCACCTGTGTGACATTTGCAGAAGGCGAGCTGCACGGGAGAATGTGAGCGAGTGTTTATATGTTTCAGAGTTATGACATTTCCATTTCCGCATCGCACATCTCAGGGAAAAAAAAAGTGAAACCTGATGTATAATGCTCTAAATTTGCCCGCGGAGCCGTAAGTGGCAATGATGGGGTGTCGAGGGCTGAGGCTGCGGTGCTGGAGTGGAGAGGCGGAAGAAATGGTTTTGAACTGCGAGGTGGGTAAAAAAAAGACATTGAAAGAAGTTCTGATGGACGGGGAAAGAGGGAGACTTAAAAGTGTTGGTGAGAAGGACACACACAGACACTGTCAAGCTACATCATGGAGTATTCTTTTTTTAGCCTCAATACAGATCTTTAGTAACACTTCATTCCTCTTTGGAAAACGTCCAGTTAGCTTTCAGGTCTTATTTTCTTTTCCAAGCAAAACCCAAAATGCTTACAAGTTTGTCTCTATAAAAAGGTGTTGGGAAGCTGTGCAGCTTTTACTCGAGATATAGAAATGAAAGACAAAAATGTGAAGCACAATATCCTCGGCAAGGAGAGGAAGGGAGGTGACGGGAGTCTCCACTTTTTATATCACACCTGCCGACGAGATGGAAATCTTTCCCCCGTATTGCTCGTACACCAAATAGTCCCCAGACTGACAAAAATGTCCACAGTTTGATCTGAGTTGAGAGAAGAGAGTTCTTGACTGGAAGAAAAAAGTAAAGTCAAAAGTCACCTAATCCCTTTTCTCATAAAGCTGCTCCAGTCCTGGCCTTTTTGTTTTATAACACAGAATTGGAGGTACCATAAAAACAGCAAAGGGGTAGTTGAAATGGTTTTTGATTCTCCGTGGAGTTTTATATTGTTTCTTTTATATGTAAGTCCAACCCAGACGCAAGCATAATCCTAAAACTAACAGTCGTCATCTACATTATGTGCAAGGTTGGTATGAAATATTAGCTTTTAAAGTTGTGAAAGACTCTAAAAAAGAACTTTTATACAACCACTCAGACCATCCCTGTAAAGAGTGACTGTTCACTAAGCCCCTCCTCTAAACAGATAAATCATCACTTCATCATCATTTGCTTCTTCAAATATAACTAAGTGTATTCAAAGCAAGTCAGAAGTTAGGTTAGACTGAAACACGAGTCTGAACTTAACACCAGGGCAAGCTAACAATACTGGAAGATATATTTCTTGCTTCAACTGTATATCTATGGTGGTGTGGGGGACACAGATTATTGGCAGATAAAGGTGCTCCTCTTCACCTATAATTAGGCCTTCTTTGTGACTCTCAAGCAATGCTCAGCCAGTCCTCTGCTTAGTCTCTCGTCCTGAGGTCAAATGTCAACTCCACCATCTCAGTGCAGCAGCTCCTGAACCAGTTCTCTGCCTACTTGAGGTTCTGGTCCGAGTGGCTCTCCAGCTCGCACAAGATCACAAAGATCGAGGCTGCTGTAGCCGGCTGAAGTCCAAGAACATGAGGCTGAAGCCAACAGGACGACAGATTAATGTGAAATGATATCGAGGACGCATGGGCTGATTAACAGCAGCTGAACTTTTGAATTATCTGGTCTTTAAATCTGACGTGATTAGCTGTGTCTGGGCCCAAACTCCGCTGCAGGTCCATAAGTCAAATGAACACTGCGGCATCACTAAGAGTTAAAAACTGTCTAAATTCTTTCATCTGTAATAAAATGATCAGCGTTGCTGCTCGACCGGGTATAACAATTACGTTTAACATCCAGGCATCCATGAAAACAGAATTTATTAAATTTAACAGAGTTAGAAGTTAGCAGGAAGTTAGCTCGCTAGTTTCCGCCTA